TGTAGTAGAAAGCCGTGGATAGTGGTTGACTACACTTTTTATGATAAAAAATGCATGCAAAGATTGTGTGGAAAGTGCATTGTCATGCTATGTATGATCAGTCATTTCTGCAACTCTCAAAATAAGTTGCAAATGATTATTTACCTTATTCTTTTATCGAATATATTTCAAGTTGATTTCTCGCATCGACAAGCAATCCATGTTCTTTCTTCGTGTTCTGAATCAATTCTGAGTTAAATAACTTATTCATCGTAATATTAATATGTATAAAAGAATATTATCCCTCATTTTACAGTATGACGAAGCCCTTGCAAAACTTTTTCTGCTGTTTACCATTTGAATGTATAATACCAACATAAGAATATTTACACGATGCCGGCTTTAGACCTCGTGGGAGCCTAAACTATGCAAATCCCCGAACTTCTTTTTTATTACACCAGCTGGTGTCAAAAACCTTAAAAATAGTTTTTAATCATTCAGTTGTAAAGTAAACCACCTACATTATTTTCAAATGAATGCAATCAGTGATTACATATTCGTAATTTGGTTTAATCTCTATCATATATTATAATGTATTGCTACTACATTACCGGTACTCAAATGTATATAATAAATAGTTTTAAGAAGAATAAATGTATTTACAAAGTATTCACAAAATACATTATCACGATTACTGTTGTCATTACATAGTAGTGTACTGTACATTCTCTTCAACAAAAAATGAAAAAAAGGCCTTAAAAGATAATGAAACCCTGAGTTGTGTCTTGTTTATCTTTACCTAAATCCGGCACAGTTATTTAAATGTAAAAGAAGCTATCAATTACACTACACGTTTTTATATATTTGAACTAAACTAAGTTTCTGTCTCTGTCTGTCTGTCTCTGTCTCTGTCTCTGTCTCTCTCTCTCTCTCTCTCTCTCTCTCTCTCTCTCTCTCTCTCTCTCTCTCTCTCTCTCTCTCTCTCTCTCTCTCTCTATATATATATATATATATATATATATAGTATCCACATATAGGTGTGTGTGTGTGTGTGTGTGTGTGTGTGTGTGTGTGTGTGTGTGTGTGTGTGTGTGTGTGTGTGTGTGTGTGTGTGTGTGTGTGTATGTGTGTGTATGTGTTTGTTTGTGTGTCGTGTAAATACATGACAACCAGCTATAAACGCTCATCACGACAACGAACTCATGCATCTAGATTGGAAGAAGTAAATGGAAAGACACACGTGTATGTGTGTGTTCGCGCGTGTGTGTGTATGTGTGTGTGTGTTCGCGTGTGTGTGTGCATGTGTGTGTGCGTTCCCGTGTTTGTGTGCGTGTAAATACGTGACAAACAGTTATAAACGTTTCTTGAACTGCAAAATCAGATTTCCGAGAGATTGCACCAAACATGCAATTGCAACAAGTAATTCAGCTCGAAGAACCTTTCTCAGAATCACTTAGGCATTCTCTCTGCACGGGTGATCTTAACGAGGCCATAATTCATTAATACATAATTCTCGACATCAAAAGTGTCAAATGCCGCTGAACTCAATGAAATCTAAATGGTAGAGAATGATAAATCACTTACCATATTAATGTTTGATGAAGATTCATTATGCACTGCTATGTACATATTTCTAGCGAATACTTTGATGTCAATATTTTCCTGCGATCATCGAGTTCGCTGATGATTGATTTCACATTGATTAATTAGTGATTGATTTAGTTGGAATAATTTGTGAAATAGAATAGATTTGCATCTGTTTTCTACGTACACACACATGCACACATATATGTATATATATATATATATATATATATATATATATATATATATATATATATATATATATATATATATATATATATATATATATATATATATATATATATATATATATATATATATATATATATATATATATGTAGGATTACTTAAAAAATGGAACTGCAATAATCTACTTACCACCTGTCAACAGATTCCAAGGAATTCGACCACAATTTGAATTGATTATTATTCATATATTTGATATCCTGTGCAATTACATCCTCTGCAAAGTCCAATAATTCGACACAAAACAACAAACCTTGATCTCGGCTACATAAACTTAGGGAAATTTTATGCAAGCATTATTATTCAAGCAAGTTATTTGAAATTTGGTTCATAGAGAACATTGATCACATGCAAATGATCCAACACATATGGCACATCCCTTTAACCTCTCTGTTGAAAAAAGGAAAGAAAAAAAAGTGTTAGTTCCGAAAATCACATCAAAGGGGCAAAGGAATGTTTCATGAAACAGCCGTTTATATTTACAACCCTTTAGCAAAAACAACAAAAAAACAGTTATAGCATGAATCAAATATAAAATGTTCTGCAATATATAAAGTATCATTTTTTTAAAGTATCGGTAACGAACTGACCATTTTTGTTACTATTACTTCTATCATTATTATTATAGTTGTTATTATAACGATTACCATTATTGCTATTATTATTATTATTATTATTAATATGATAATCATCATTACTATCCTTGTTATTGCTGTTATTGTTTTTATAGTTATCATTATCATTCTTACCATCATCATAATTATCATCATTATATCTTGTCATTAATGTTATCATTGTTATTATTATCATTATTAATACTATTACGCTATTATAGTATTTTCATCATTTTATTATTATCGTTATTATCGTTATTATTATGATGATAATCATTACAAAATACCAACATCGAGAGAGATATAGATAGACTGATAGATAAAAAGATAGGTAGATAGATAGATAGATAGATAGAGATAGAGAGAGAGAGAGAGAGAGAGAGAGAGAGAGAGAGAGAGAGAGAGAGAGAGAGAGAGAGAGAGAGAGAGACAGAGAGAGCAGAGAGAGAGAGAGAGAGAGAGCACACAGATAGAGATACATAGAGACAGGAGAGACACACAATCACATGCAGATAAACAGACAGAGGAAAACCCATAATTCACCCAAAAGGCATTGTAGGCCAAAAAAAAAAAAAAAAAAAAAAAAAAAAAAAAAAAAAAAAAGATAGCGAACGCCCAAAACTTCCAAAATCTAAACAAGCAATCCCATGACTTGACCAGGAATAACAAACGGTCCATGCACATTCGCTGATGGAGTTCGGCGAAGCTAACTTACTCCCTTGAATATTCAGGGCGGAAAATGTTTTCATTTGCTTGCTATTTTTTTCAGAAATCCATTTATTTTTTCAACTTTTGTTTCCTTATTTTTTTTACTTT